GCGTGGAAAGAAACTTTTGTATTCCTTTTTAAAATTAATGAATACATCACGTTAGTTAGTTATTTACTGTAGAATGTGTGCACTTGCTGGAGTGAGACAGAAAAAAAGAGAGAGAGGAAAAGTGGGAAAGCACCTGCCTCTCCCCAGAGGAGAGGACCACGCTGCATCTGTTCTCCTCTCAGGATTCAGGATTTGGGGCACACATCAGGATGGCACATGTACCTGGTGTGTTTTTCAAGCTGCTGGCACACTTAGTCATGTGGAATCCAGACACTTTAACCACTACACCATTTGGCTGGTCCCACAAATTCTAATTATTATTTCAAATCAAGACAGACTCAATGATGCCTGACTCCCAGCAGGGTGACAGGAGAGATGAAGAGGTTTCGGGACCGTAAAGGCTAGGTGGGAGCAGATCTGGTCACAGGCTTTAACCAGGAGATTTCTGGGATGGTGATACATTGGTAGTAGTTTGGGTATGCAACCAGATTTTGAGATTTGCACAAAAAGAAGTTAGGGTATCTTGGCAAATTGGCAGAATCCAGGACCAGACCACTTTTTGATCTTTGAAAATGCACCCTCAGGGTATCTGTCTTATGACAGATTTCAGAGTCTGGGACCTTAGCGTGGAGTCCAAAAATTAAGCAATCTGTAGACGTTGGGAAATAAGGATTGGCACTGAAAGGAAAGGCAACACCAGGCCTTTGTACTAGGACAGTGATTAGAAATGGAGAGTCGGCAGCTGAATCTAGACTATAGGTATTTTTTTATTTGACCTATATGGTTTTTGTTTCTTTTCTTTCTTTTATTTTCTAGGTTTCCTTCTTTCTTTCTTCAGAGAGAAAGAGGGAGACAATCCTCAACAGAGTCTTGGTGCAGTGATCCACCCCTAGCTTCAGTCAGCCCTGGAACAGACACACGTACCTGGTGATGTCTCTGGAAATGAACCCAGAACATGCTCAGTTGTGTCAGACTCACAAGGCCTTGTGTTTTACCGTTGAGCTACTCTCTGGCTCCCTTTTTCCTCCCTCCCTCCTTTCTTCCTCTCTTCCTTTCTTTCTCATTTCTCTCTCTCTCTCTCTTTTTTCTTTTTGAGTTTTTTGCTATAAGGTGCAAGTGCTCTCCAGAGAGACAGAGAAACAGAGAGACAGGAAGCAAGAAATAACTCTCCAGGGGGTATGGCCATGCTGCAATCTCTTCTCTTCCA